GGATGTTCTTACCACGTGGCAGGCTGATTGTTGAGCTTCCTTCCAACCTGAACCATTGTATGTGTAGTGATCAAACCTGTTTCCATGGCACCAGAGCTGTTCTGGTGCTACTGAACCAGTAGCACTGAATAATATCAATTAATTAAGATCTTCCTACTCATGGTGAATAATATCAATTAATTAACATCTTCCTACTCATGGGCACAAAGTGGTCTAATGTGCAGTGCCAGCTTAGCTTAGCAGCTCCTTGGCATGATAAATAAGTGCAATCCAAAACCAGCTTGGTCTTGAGCTGAGCACAAGGCATGAATCTAGAATGCTGCAGCTGAGTGCAAGGCTCAAGATCATGATTCCACAAACCTAGAATGTGGCAGTGGGATGAACTGACAGCCCTGCTGCTGTCCCACCCCATATGGAAATCTCCTGCCAATCCCACCTTCTCCTTTACTTTTGTCATTCAACGGAGCAGAGTCAAAAAAAAAGAATGATAAAAGATCCTCTCCCTGCCTGTGGTATCTCAAATACTGTGGTACAGATGAAGATGGACTCTGTAGGAGCATCCCATGTCCTCTCTGGAGGGCAGGTGCCAACAAACCTGGGACTGGTACATAAATAACATACATAAACATGGTGATCAGCTGATCTGGGGGCTTAACACCAAAGTAAAATAAACAGTCTACAGGCTTGTGGTTGATGGTTGTTACTATGCCCTATAGAAGGAAAGGGTGAGCCAATGGAGAACACACTGGGCAGGCTGATGGGATAGATAAGGGCCATCTACTTCATCACAGCATCCTGTTTGGCAAAAGATAATCCTGGTGGTGCTCAGCCATTGATCTTCATGGATGAAACAGACTATGCAAGAGATTCTGACTCAATCCCATTATATCAGAGAGATAGCATTGGGCCTCAGTTCCCTATTTATACCTTTCACAAAGAAATTTTGCGACACAGCAGCTAGATGACAATATTCCTGAGTAAATCAAGTCCTCCTGGCAGTGAATCCCAACTCAGTTGTGCACAGTTGTCTTATCAAAGCCCCTTTGAGAAGCAGACCACGTGCCACTGCTGTCTTTGCTAGATGCCCTGGTTTGACAGTAGTCTCCATTCTTATCAACCAGCACTCAGTTGCGCTGGGTGTGATGAGGCAGCCCTGATAAGGATTTCAGGGCACACCCTCAGGAGACTGCTGAACATAATGGTCTTGCTCTTCCTGATTAAAACATTCAAAGAAGAAGGTTTCCTTTAACCAAAGGCTGGTTGCACATAAATCTTGAGGGCAGAGAACAGCAGTGAGTTGACTGCTCTGCACATTAACCGTTAACTTTTTCTTCCTTCCAGATTTTTCTGTAGTGAGGGCTTACTTTAAAAATAAGCTTTCATGTGCCTTCACCTGTTGCAGTGAAAAAAAACAAAAAGCATTCCTGATATTTTAGTAAACAAATAAGAATTATAGAATTATGCAGTGATTGAACAACGCATCCATCATTTCAGTGAGCATGGTGGTGATAGGCTGATGGTTGGGTCATCTTAGTGATTTTTCCCAACCTTAATGATTCAGTGATTCTATCTTTGAGAGTTACACCTGCAGCATCACCTGGATGTTGTTCTGTCTCTGCCACAAAGTCACACTTTCTGCTGTGGGCTGCTGTAGTCTCATACTTTTTGTTTGCAAGTTTTTCTCTCGTGACTTGTATCCTACCACAGGACAGAAGAAAAGGAAAGGAAAAAGATGGAGAGGGACTGGGCTGACAGGAGGAACTGGAAGGTGGTTTCTTGAAGCATCTGAACAAGCTGGCTATCAGGAGAGGCAGGAAAGCCTCTTACTAACAGGTATGCAAATACTTTGGCTCTTCTAGTCTTAAGCAATAGAGTTAACTAGCTCACAACGCTCTCAAAAATCGTACTATGACTCAGAAGATGTCAGTAAGCTTGCTCTTTTCAGTGGTGCGTGTTAAGTATATAATAAAGTGCCTACTCCTTTCATTACATAAGGAAATGTAAAAGGTTTGGGGTTTGGCCATTTTGCTGCCTTTTCTTATGTGATGATGCCATCTTGTGGAAGTCGCTAAGAGCAAGAGTTGGAAGCAATGTAAGCCCTGTTACTCAGCAGGAGCAGGCTTGTGGGGTGGGAGAACGTGGAGTACTGCCATAGTCACCTGGTGGGCTTCAGGGCTGCTGCCGTGGAGAAGATCTGCTCTGGTCCTAAGGATGTGGGTACCTTAGTGCTATATTTGTCAGGGATTGTATCTTTCTGAAGTGTTCTCTTTCCACTTTAACCAAAAGGAATCCAGTCTGAGTGCTCCACAACTACCCAGATTAGGGTTGGTATGGATATTAACTTCAGACACATCTCAGATGATAAAGTAGGAATGCCCTTAATGCCCTAAAGCACTGATAATGAGGTGAGACTGTAAGCCAATGGGATCGTGCCCAGGCCCTGAAAAGCCCTGGGATGGATTCTATATTGTTCTTAGTGCTATGAGATCACTGTGCTCTCCTGCTCTGCCTGGGAAGGTGCTTCTGGGACCAGAAAAAGCTCTTCTCCAGCTCTCCTTCTATTGGAAAAGAGGTTTATTCTCTAGTTCTACACTGTAGAGGAAGCACTCAAGCTCACTCATACAAAAACCTGTGCCTGCTCTTGAGAGCTGCATCTTTACCAGTAAAGCTGGGGAACCACCACTGCTTTGGGGATCATGAAGCAAAGGAAGAGGGACATGTTGCTGGAGCAAGATGCAAGAAATGGGTGAGAATTGCCTGTGGGATTCAGTTAATGCAGTGTGGTTAAATTTGGACTTGCCTTGTTTTGATTTGGATGACAGACATTAATGGTTGTTTTCTTCACGTAATGATTGCTGTCCTCATAAAGTTGGGAGAATGCATAGCTTAAGCTGGTACAGCTGCATTCAGTCCACTCTGATCACTGGGGGAAGTGGATTCTCAAACAAAAAGCTTGAGCTAGAGGAGTGGTACCACCCTTCTGTGTTGTCACGTACTTAATCTTTTCATTGCTATGAGACTCAACAAGCCTAAACCATGCAATTTCCTTGGAAATACCTTCCCACTTCTCTAGTAATGTGCATCCATAGCAGTCTGACATATTGGATGTGTGCTTCTTCCTACAAAGGTTTTTAAGTAATGAGTGAAAACTTAGTTGCTTTTTTTTTTTAACTGTAAGTGGTGCATCATTTGACTTGTGTGTTGTTTCTAGTAACCCTAAGTAACATGGGATATATAAGCCAATTTTCTAACAAAGTAATCAAACCTAAAAATGTAAATTTCCTTACAATGTGATGTGCCTAAACCAAAGAAAACAACCTTCCACAAGTATACTTGTGTTCTTAGTTTCCTGCTGTTAATTTGGATGTGTTTTTCACCTGGTGCCTGGAGTCACCAGGATTAAATACTTGGCCATGTTTACTTTCCTCTATAGAAGTTTTTGAGCTTGTTTGCCAAGGGTGTTGTGGCATGTGATGAATTAGGCTAAGCATCATTGATTGAAAACAGGTAGCCTGTAGGAGTACTTATCCTGTAGACTCTGGGTACAGGGTGTGGTGCTTGTCCTGATAGGGAAAACAAAAGAGAGGAAAATGCTAGTTGCTTTAAAATTGTCTCTGGTTTAAGCCCTATGGGAACATAATAGGAAGGTTGTTGGGAAAGGACTGCAACAGACTACCTACAGTAGCCAAAGAGGAGGCTGTGACAACAACAGAAGATCTAGGTGTGCCTAAGCCCATGTGGCTGTGGAGGTGATGTCATCTCTGGAATGGGTAAGGACTTGAAGCGATATCTGAGCTGATGGGATTTACCTTCAGGGATGAGGGACAGGCTCTGAAGGTCTGCTCATCCAGACCTAAAGCAGATCCAAGGGAGTTATGGATGAGGCAGTGTAACTTCATTTCACAGAATGGTTGAGCTTGGAAGGAATCTCTGGAGGACATCTAGTCCAAATCCTTGCTCAAGCAGGGCTACTTAGAGCAGGTTGCCCAGGACCATTTCCTTCTCTGGCTAAAAGAATTAGTTAAATGCTTCACAAATGCCTAGAGAGTAACAGGAAGATGGGAAACAGAAATGGGTCTATCAAGTGTGACTTATATTCAATTGATCCATTTTGGTGTGATTTTGTTAGCTCGAGAAGAGAGCGGAAGATCCTTCCTTTGAACTTTGATGGTTATAGCCTTGTCCAAAGTGATATTCTCTTAAGCAAGCTTATTATGGTAGTTTGCAGGCACAAACTAGCTTAAATAATGTTCCCAGAAGGTGAATTGTGAGGTAATGAAGCTGGATGAAAACATTCAAGTGGAAAATCTGCTGTAGTTAAATAGATGCTCAAAGTATCTTAGGAGAGCTCTTGATCCCATTGCAGTCACTGGATGTGAACCAGTGGCATCTTGATGACTGGATTCCAAAGGACTTTTTTGGGTCTTGAAAGCCTTGCTAAAATCAAGTGAGGAGTCTTGGCACCCAGAATAACAGCCAGGTACCCTAATGACAGATCTGTTTGTGCCCACAGACCTCTTCTGTGGAGCCAGGAGTTGGACTCAGTGATCCTTATGGGTCTCTTCCAACTTGGGATATTCTATGATTCTATATATGGCCTGTATGGGTTGTGTGATAGGGCAGGACTTTTGTCAAGTAATGGTGACAGTGCAAGACTGTGGCTGTAAGACGCATCTGAGCCTGAATGTGGTACTGCAGCTGACAGTGTCCCATCTATGGAGCAATCCCATAGTCTCTATTCTGCTCTGGGATGCCACCAGCTGGGATCAATGCATTATAGGATGGAGCTATTGTGGCCAATCTGTGGTTCCTTCAAAGACTCCATCTGCCCCTCTTTTCTACTCAATAAAAAACCCCAGTGATGCCACTGAAGGCACCAAAGAGCCTCAGTCTGAGGCTTCTGTGGCCACTGGGTCTGTAGTCCTTCTTGGATTTGGTCAGGCACAGATCCTACTGGAGGTGGAGCTGTGGTTGGTGCAAGGCAGAGAATTACGACTTACTGACTGCCAGGACAAAGATGGCAAAGATACCAATCACCTGCCAGAGGCGCAGCCCCCAGATCACCACCGTCTCCGAAGTGACAGGATCCGGTTTCTTTTTTGGGGGTTCTGTGGTGGCCTGGGAAAGAAAGATGGGGAAGAAAAAAAAAAAAAAAACGTGGTTTAGGATTTGCAAGGATCACTGAATGGCCTCTGAAGGCCATTTAGTCCAACTGCCCTACAGTGAAGAGGGAAGCTAGATCAGGTTTCCCAGGGCCTTATCCAGTCTCATCTGGAAAGTCTCCAAGGATGGGGCATCAACCACATCTCTGGGCAACCTGTTCCAGTGCTTCACCATCCTCACTGTAAAAGATTTTTTCCTTATATCTAAATGAAGATCATCTAGGTGAAAAAGGAAACAGCAAAAGAGCTAAATGTCAGGGCATAAAAGGAGCTGGCTGTTCCCCCCAACAAAGGGAGTGCAACGCAAACACCAAGGCAGGCTTTTCATCAGCAAGACCCCCATCCCACCACCTATGAACAAAAGCTGTGGGGCAGGTTTGGGATGGCAGCTGGGTTTAGGAGAGAACTAAGGCAACCGGATGAACCTGTAGAGATGGAGCAAATCCATGGCCAGGCACAGACAAGGGCCAAGAAACTAGAGCAGAAGGTTAAAGCAGCTCCCATGAGTTGTAGCTCAGCCCTTGTGCTCTTTCTCACTTGGCCCCAGCATCTCTAGGTGTGAGATGCTCTCAAAGCCTGGAGAGTATCTTGCTCCTGAGCCCTGGAGAAACACTGCAGAACTATTGCCAGATCAGACAGGACAGATGCCATAGAGCTCAATGCTGACCTTTGAGTTTGGTTGCTTCTTTTAATTTTCTTCCCATCGTGCAACACTTTGGTAAGAGCTGCCTGCAGAAGTGGAATCTGCTTGTCTCAAACTGGAGTCCTGGCACTGGAAGCTATAGGGTCTGTATCCTTTATGCACATTCCCTTCTTGACCCCATGCCAGTCACTTTTCCTCTGCTCTTGAAACTCCCACTGACTGCAGGGAGAGATCTACCTGCTGTAGCTGCTATGGGGCATATTATTTGTCCAAGGGGCAGCAGGGCTGCAAGAAAGGACTTGAATTTATTTTATCTCCAGTCTTCCTACCATGGAGTTTCTCCAAGCTTATACCTCAGTGTGAGTTGGTGTCTGTGCTCTGAATGTCTGCACTATGAAGTGCTCTCTTTGAAGAAGAGAAGGCTCTGGGGACACCTCTTTGAAGTCTTCCAGTATTTGAAGGGAGCATATAAACAGGAGGGGGAACGACTGTTTACATGGGTTGATAGTGATAGAACAAGGGGGAATGGTTTTAAACTAAGATGAGGAGATTTAGGTTAGATATTAGGAGGAAATTTTTCACTCAGAATGTGATAATGCACTGGAACAGGTTGCCCAGAAAGGTTATGGATGCCCCATCCCTGAAGACATTCAAGGCCAGGCTTGAAAAAATGTACGTCTGGCTCCCTGCAGTGCCCTTCCCTTCTCACCCCACTGTTAAAACACAGCTGTAATGGATATTAGAAGCTGGAGCTGCTCTCCAATTACTCGCCTATTTGTGCAGTACAAATCATAATTTAGATTATTTCTAATGAAGGATGCTTCCCGTTGAGTCTGGAGTGCTTTGGCTCCCAGGGGATCCTATTCAGAGTCCATTTGTGGTGGTAGGACTGCTGCATGAGCCTTTCTTTTTTTCTTTTTTTCTTTTTTTTTTCCAAGGTGCCTTAGTTACTCAGCACTGCATGGCTTTAGTGCTGGGGCTGGACATGGAGCATTTAATGCTCAAAACTTGGAATTGCTGCAGCTAAATGAAGGGAAAAAGAATATCTGACCAGAGTGGTGTGGTCTTGTAGGGATATCTGAAACAAAAGGTAAGAATCTGTGACAGTCACTGCTGAAAGACGCTGCATCTATTTTCAACTATAGGAATTCTTCAGAGTTTTTGCAAACCTTTTAGGATACCCTTTGGGTAGCCTTAACCTGAATCAAAGATGTTTGTTTTATGTGAAGCACTCGGTGTGACTTTGCCCTCTCAGGAATCATAGCTCTCTAAAGGATGGGTCTGCCAGACTTGTTTCTGATGGGCAGCTGAGAAAGGGAGACAGATGTAGAGAGGAAAGCTGTTGGGCGAAGGAAACTGTGGGCTGCAGTTGTTCCAAGGGAGGTTCAGGGTTGATATTAGGAAAAATGTATTCTCAAAGAGTGGTAATGCAGTGGCACAGGCTGCCCAGGGAGGTGGTGGAGTCACCATCCCTGTTTGAGGCCAGGGAGATGTGGCACGTGGGGACATCCTCCTTTAACTGCTGCACCATATATGCAGAAAACATCAGAGGTGGAACGTAGAGTAGGCAATATTTTGATAATTAAAGGCTCTTCAGTTGCAGTAATGCAGGAAGAACAAACTGCTGGATGAGTGAACAGATGTGTGACTTTTTGTAGGTGAGATAGAGATGAAAGTACACAAAGATGCATAGTCTTACCATCTGTAGCAGGAAGATTTGTGGCTGAAGCATCTACTACCAATTTATGGCCAATTGTGGATACATTTGTGGACAAGGAAAAGTGTGTCTTTAAATGAGACTGAACTTGCTTTGCAGGGAAGAAGACAAAGCAAAGTTGAAGATCTCTGCTACTTTCCTTGGTTTCACAAAAGCCCTTGATGTAAACCAACACATAAAGTAGCAAAATATTTTAGACAAAAGTTCAAGGGGAAAGAGCATAAAGCAAGACTACTGCTGAGTCCTGACCATTCATGCAGATGTTTAATCACATTCTTTGTGTTCTTAGAATATGCATTGAGGGCTGAAATATGCAATGAAATTACTGAAGCACAGTGATCAAGCTACTGCAGCTTAATAAATCGTTGCTCGTTTGTAGCTATGTGCATGCAATGGGAGTCAGTGACAGAGGGCTGAGTCTGCATTGCTACACCTCTTAACTGAAAAAGCTTTCCAAACTCATGAGTGGATGGAAAGATGCAGTGCTGGCCCACTCTTAAACCTCTTAGCTTTTGGAGATTGCAAAACAGTAAGCAAGAGGGAAAAAAAAAACATCTTAATGAAAATAATTTTTAGTAGCTGTAGGAAAGTGGAGCTGTTGACTTGTACTTGACAGTAAGTGTTAAGATCTGGAGTTACTGGTACGTGCTTGGCAATAAATGCCAAGATAAGAGTGATTGGATCAGAAGGTGTTAGGAGCATAGAAGATGCAGAGAAAAGCAGCATTAGCAATACTCAAGTAATAATGGAACAAGGACAGGTTTGGTGGGCAAGTAGATGAGCAGATATATATTAAAAAGATTATGTAAATGTTGGAGGTTGATTATGTAAATGTTGGAGGTTAGCCTCACTGCAGTGTTCCTGCCACATGGGTAGCTGGGTGCTGTCTCCAGGAATATGGAAAATGTTGGGAATGCAGGAGGAAAAATAATTGTGCAGGAAGGAGTAAATGAAAGGTTATAAAGCTCTGTGCTAATAGAGTGCATAATCATGTTATAGCAAAAAGTATCTTATGGATTAGTGAAGTAGCATAAGCTTAAATGTAAAGAAGGTGATGAAAACCTTAGTGAATATCCTATGTAATCTTTATGGAAGATCTGCTGCTCCAGAGAGAACAGATGAAAAACAGGCAGCGTACAGCAAAGAGCCTAAAATAAGATTAGACTGCCATACTGAGAAAAGTGAAATCAACTCCAACCCAGCACCAATTAGAATATTAAGCCCAAAGACAGACTGCTGTTTTGGGTCTTCCTGGCAGGACAGTAGAATAACTCCTTAGAGTCTGACCTTATTGACTATGTCTCCCATGAAAACTGAGGCACTCGAGTCACTTGTTGATCACAGAATCAGAACAGCTTGGATTGGAAAGGACCTTAAAGATCATCCATTTCCAACCTCCTGCCATGGGCAGGTTGCCACTACCAGGTCATGCTGCTCAGGGCCCCAACCAACCTGCCCTTGAGCACCTCCAGGGATGGGGAAGCCACAACCTCTCTGGGCAGCAGTGCCAGCACCTCACCATCTTCTGAGTAAAGAATTTCTTCCTAACTTCTAACCTAAATTTCTCCTCTTTTGATTTAAAGCCGTTCACCCTTGTCCTATTGCTATCTGCCCATGTAAAAATTTGCTCCCTCTCCTGCTTGTAAGCTTTCTTCAAAGTACTGGAAGGCCACAGTGAGGTCTCCCAATAGATGCCATTAGCTATGTATATTTCTGTCTTATCCTTCAGTCTAGGTCTCTCTCTCTGAAGTAAATGCCTCTGCCTTTAATAATGTGCAGTACAAATAATTAAGTTTAAGCTGACTGTTCTTGAGTTACTTTATGGTTAAGAGAAAGTGGCACTTACATGGTTATTCAATTTCAGTGTCAAATTCCAAAATGCCCAATTTGGATCAGGTAAATGCCACCCTTGGCTTTCAGTTCTTTTTTTTTTTTTTTTTCCAGAGGTCCCCAACCTCTGAAGGCACAAGATGTGATTGTGGTTATCCATTCCAAACCCTCCCAGATACCATGGCCCCAAGTTTCGTGGAGGCCAGGACGGTGACACCTGATCCAACTCTTTAAAAGGGTAGATAATAGCAAGACAATGGGAAATGGTTTTAAGTTGAAGAAGGGAAGATGTAGGTTAGATATCAGGGGAAAATTCTTTACTATGAGAGTGGTGAGGTGCTGGAACAGCTGCCCAGAGAGGCTGTGGATGTCCCTTCCATCCCTGGAGGTGTTCAAAGCCAGGTTGGATGGGGCCCTGGGCAGCCTGGTCTGGTATTAAATGTGGAAGTTGGTGGCCCTGCATGTGGTGGGTGAGGTTGGAGCTTGATGGTCTTTGAGGTCCCTTCCAACCCAAGCCATTCTATGATCCCTTTGTGTCTTAGAAGAGAGGACCTCTGCACTGTATGCAAGCATTGCTTTTACAGCTCCTCCAAGTGCCCAGCAAAGGTGAGGAGGAGGCAGAAACCACTCCATGAGAAGCAGGAGCTGAGCTGACATTGGGCTCTTGGGGCTGTAAAACATCTACGAACCCCCAGAGCACTAAATCATTTCCAGGCATGTTGCACATTTAGGTCAGAACAGTTTGACACTGATTCTTCTAACAAGAAAATTTTCCAGTTTGCTTCGTTTCTGATTCATTTCAAGCAGAGAAACTGTCAGTGGTGATTGGAGCTGAGGCACGGTAAGGAACCAGAAAAGGTATCAGCTCCTGTGGGAAGGAGATAGCTGCTGGAGACAGGAGCTCTATTTGCTTAATATGTTGGTGTATTTAGGGTTGGGGATAAAAAAGATATTGACTATGATGATTTGACAGTGATAGCTGATAAATCTGGTATTTGCCATTAGATCACAGTGTAGGTTTGCTGTTGCCCTGGTTGTGAGGCTTGCTTGCAGCTCTTGTGCTGGCTGAAGGACCTCTCTCGTGGTCTCAACCCTCCAGCCTCCCTCATTCCCTTCTGGAACTTTATTTTTTTTCATACCTGGCCCAATTCACAATCCTGGGAGCAGCAATTTAAGATTGAAACCCAGATGCTTCTTTTCATCTGAGAATGGCAGCAATCACAGGACAATCTCTCTAGCATCACTGTAGCATTTAGGATTACTGTTAGCAGAGAGCATGCATTGATTCATGTCTGCCCTACCTCTGCAAGTAACTAGGCTGGTCTGAGAGCACATCTGTTTTTTCCTGAAGTACACGTTTTGAGATCTGGGAAGGCTCAGTAACTTTGCACCCTATGTGGCCTCCATCCCTCTCTCAGAGCCTCTCTTCTCTAAGGTGGCTATGACAAAGAATTTTCTGGAAAAAAAAACTTCATAATTTTCTATAATATTTTTATTTCAGCTGGCCTGAAATACTTGCATCTTCTTTAAAGATGCATTTCTTAAAGCTAATGCTCTTAACTCATCATCTGTGCCTCCTGTGCATGCCTTCCTGTACTATCATTTTTCTTACTTGTTCTTCCGTGGTAAGCTTTTAAATTAAAGCTATGCATTCACATGGGAAATCAACCTCAGGAGTCCACTCTGTAATTTTTACCTATCTTTATTTCAACTATAATCACACCTCTGAGCATTTATAGGTATTGCATACAGTCCCATCCATCACATTCATTTGTAGGCTACAAATGAGGGATACTGTCCCTCAAGTCCAACAATACATGGCTATGTACAATATAAACTGAAGCTATTAATGAATATCTTTGCCCTACTATTGAATCTGTGCTACATCTTTTGCATGGAGTCCAAGCTAGAACATAGGGAGACCAGAAACATCATTATTATTCTTGCTTTATTAATAAAAAGAATGGGCAACGAATTTCTTCTGAGAAAGAGTGGTAATGCACTGGCACAGGCTGTCCAGGGAGGTGGTGGGGTCACCTGGAGGTGTTCAAGAAATGTGGAGATGTGGCACTGAAGGATGTGGTCAGTGGGCACGGTGGGGGTTGGTTTGGGGTTGGACTTAGTGATCATAGGATGGCTTAGGGGTCCTTAAAGATCATCTAGATCCAACCCCACTGCTGTAGGTGGGGCTGACATGATCTTAGTGGTCTTTTCCAACCTTAATGGTTATTATATGATTCTGTGATTCCATGATTCTAGTATGATGAAGCTTCTGGAGACTTTTTTACATGACATCCTAGAGATGGAGTTTTCCCTTTTGTTTAAGAAGCTGCAGAAAAACCCAGAGACTTGTTTAGTACCTGATAACTTCTGAGCTTGTGAACGCAGTTTACATGTGGGGTATGAGAGTCATCCGGATAAAGCTACATGAGTGTTTGTCTTCACCAATCTGTACAGCTACAGCTGAAGTTGGACAAGATGTTCTTGGAGAAGAGCCCCCAGCTCTGGCTGAAGCACTGGCACCTTATAGGGATGCTCCTAGGGCACTGTCTGTGCAGATCCAGGACAGCCCATTTAGTTAATTTCAAATGTACCTTGTCCAAAAGCAGTTTGCAAAACTTAACTTTTGCCTTGGATATACGTAGATAAAATATCAATGACAGAGAAAAGCTTTTTGTCAGTGCAATTAGATTGGGTAATCAGAGGCTCTCATTGCCTCCTCTCTCTCTCTCAGTGGAATATGCACACAGTTATGCACATTAAGAAACACTTGGACATCACTAACCAAGAGCATCTTGTTTCTTCATTTCACCTTATTGTGGGTTTGCTTGCTTTTCTTTTGGGCTCACTGATATGCTCTGATGTCTGCTCCCTTTGACCTTCTCTCTGTTTGCTTCAACAGTCTGGCTTAGCATAAATTGAATTATTCACAATAACTACATTGTGTAATTATTTGAAGTAAAAAAAAAAAAAAAAAAATCCTTGCAGAGCTTTAGAGCTGCCTGTAATTCATCTGCCTTTAGTCTGATTGAGCTGTACATGTCCCTGTTTGCTGCAGGGATTGGATTATGTGGCCTTTAAGAGTCCCTTCTAACTCAAATGGTTCTGTGATTCTATGAAATACAGAATCTGGCTGTTCATCTAATCCCATTTTTGGCTATCTGGTAATTAACCTGCTGAGCAGCTTGAGTTCCTAGATGAGATTTGCTCTCTCCAACATGATATAATGAAAATGTTTCCAAGAGTCTGGTATAAGTAAAACAGATCAGAAAGTCAGACCTGTTTTATAGCCATCTGCCTAATTTTGACATTTATCCTTGCTCTGCTTTGGCATGAATACAAATCCTGGAAAGTGTGTGTCTGTGAAATATCTATTTTCAAACAGAAAGCATCAGGCTGCTTATTCAGGTGGTTGTCTGGATGCTGGAAATGGCAAGAAAGGTTTAAATAGATATCTCTTTTTGGTGGGGTGGAAACTGGGTCTGCACAGTGACTCGGCTTCAGTGAAGCATACTTTGTCAAATGTGCACCGTAAGAGAAAGTTCTGCCTGGCTTGTCACCTTGAGATCTGCTGTAGGTGAACAGATTGGGAAAATGCCTATAGCAGTGTGTGTGCATTTTCCAAACGAGCTTTCAGGTTCTGGTTTGGCTTGCTGGGGGTGTGTTATACCATGGTCAGATAGGATGAGTTTGGTAGAGCCATTTGAAAATACCATATTAAGTAACTTTAGATTGAGATGGAGATGAGGCAGAAGATGGGGCGGGGATATGAACTCGGCACAGCTTTTGTTGCTTCTGATGCATTTGGTGGTAAACTGTTAAAATGTGCAGGCTGAAGGCTGCAGAGATTGGATCCAGCTTGATGTGAGGCCGGGTGAGAAGCAGAACAGGTAGGGATGCTAAGATCTAACATGATGAAACTATATTTTCTTCTTCTAGCCCATTAGAGCTCTTAAAGCAGACATGGCTGCATCAGCATGGCCATTTGAACAGCATAACCAAAATGAGGAATGTGAGCAAAGTGAGCTCTGCTGTAAGGACATGCTGATAATGCTCTTCAGCACCAGGGCACTGGGGCTCTGACCTCAGACCTTCCTCTAACATGGCTCAGCCTTGTAGTTAGGAAAAGCAATCAAGAAGTTGAAAACATCTCCAAAATTTTTGGCAGCTGTAATTTTGGGGGCTCTTTTGCACTCTGACAGCATCTATAACTTAATTGCTGGTACTTTCATCTGCTCTTCGCTCTTGTTTAGTCCTAGACTTGCAGGATGGCCAAATGAGCTGTGGGTGAGAAGAATCACCTCCAATGCTAACATTTTGGTTGGAAATGAGGGAAGGTACAGGGACAAACATGTAGCACAACCACTTAACCTGGACAGGTGCCTCCGTGGACAGGATCAAACCTGGTCCTTCTTCCCTGAGTCCCTGATGTGGGGCACTTGTTGGACAGAACTGACAGAACTTGCTGGATAGGCAGCATGGGGCTGGAAGTGCTGTACTGTGAGTTTTCATGCTGTTTCAATCCACCTCTGGGGATTAAAAGAGCACAGAGTGCCACCTGTGATCGATCATCATGCCCTGCCCAGGGAAATGGTGAAGTTATTTACCATCCCTGGAGGTGTTTAAGAACTGTGAAGATGTGGCACTGAGGGACACAGTCAGCATAATGGGATAGTTTGGGGTTGGATTAGATGATCATTGTGGTCTTTTCCATCCCTAATGATTCCATGATTCTATGATCACCAGCTACTGGCACGTTAAAAGCAGTTCCTTTAGAGTGCTGGGCCTGAGGAAAGCAACAAGCACTACCTGAAGGAGCCTCTATCTCCTCGGAGCCACCTTAAATTCCCCGATTTCCACCCTTGTATGGAAAAAAACAGGATTCCTGGCCACCCCCAAGACCCTAATCCACAAAGCAGGTTGTTCCTTACCTCAATCAACTGTGCCATGGCAGCTCTGGAGCACAAGAAGAGGGAGGAAGACCTCATCCAAAAGAGAGGATGCTGCAAGGGTGGATCCCACGCCATCTTCTCTGCCCGGAATAATCTCTGACTTGTTCTGTGCTGTAGCCCAAAGCAGGAGAGGTGATGAATAACCGAGCTGGCTGTCAGCAGCACGCAGCATTTACCAGATGAGTTGCATGCTGTCCCAGCCCTTCGTTACTGCCTTCCTGCTAACCCAGCAGCCACAGAGCCGACGCTGAAAGTCATTAATTAATTAGATTGGTGTCGCTTACAGAGTGCTCTGCTGCTTCTCCAGCTGGGCTTTGTAGAGAGGGATGCAGGGAGTGAAGTAGCAGTTGGAGCTCCTGCTGCTCCTCGCAAGGAAAGCAGTCCACTCATTGAAACTGTGGCTTTTTTTCCTTCTTTACAGCTGCCTGACTGATTCCAGCTCTCCTGCTCTTGTTTTCTTTCCTGAGAGAAGTCTCTTCCCCTAATGAAATAGGGCTGTAAGCCAAGCTGATGCATCACCGGCATCATAGCAACCCTAAGCAAGACGAGTCCAGTGTTACTAGAGATGAGCATTTGATGTCTCTGGATTTTAAAAGCATCTTTCATCCCTGGAGGACCTTGGAGGGATGTGTTGCTGCGCTTTGCAGCTTCATCTGATCTTTAAGTCTGGAGGGAGTGAATGGCAGCTGGGAAGAGCATCTGCATAGACTAGATATTAGGAAGAAATTTAGGCTAGATTATTAGGAAGAAATTATTTACTGTGAGGATGGTGAGACACTGAACAGGTTGCCCACTGAGGCTGTGGATGCCTCCTTCCTGGAAGCATTCAAGGCCAGGCTGGATGGGGCTGTGAGCAACATGGTCTAGAGGGAGGTGTCCTTGTCTATAGCAGGGGGTTGGAACTGGATGATTTTAAAGGTCTCTTCTGACCCAAACCATTCCATGATTCTATGCATGGTTGGAAGTAGGAGCTAAAGCTGAAAGGCTCAACGAATTTTTCTAGATGAGATGGGAAAGGAAAGCACGGATTTGAGGGAGTGTAGGACTCTCAGCTGTGCTGTCCTTCTGCCTTTGGCCGCAGAGTAAAGAGGAGAAGGAGTGTGATTGGATGGAACGGGTTAAAATGCTTGGCTAAAGAAATCCGAACAGACCGAGCCCAGATGAACGCACTGAGCATCTTCACTTAGAGAGGCATGGCTTAGTAGGCATGGTGGTGATGGGTCAGTGGATGGACTTCATGTTCTTGGTGGAGGTCTTTTCCAGCCTTTATGGTTCTATGAGTGGGCATGGTGGGAAGGGGGTTGATTGTTTGCCTTGATGATCTTAGAGGTCTCTTCTATCCTTAATGATTCTCCGAGTTTTATGAACTTTCCAGCTGTAATTTTCTTGTTTCAGAGGAACAATTGAGTATTAAACTAGGAATACATTTTTTTTCCCCATAGTTTTAGGAGATGGATTATCAAAGGTACTTTGAAGTGCAGTTACCAGAAAGCCACCAGGAAACACAAAACTGTTTAAAAATAACTCTCCAGTTTCCTTTGCTGTGGGAAGCGTAAAACTCCAAGAACTCGAAAGAAAGAAATCAAAGGTCCTGAGCTTGTTTGCTTTTGAAATATGATCACAGAATGGCTTGGGTTGGAAGGTGCAATACTCCAGATGATGCAGCCACTCAAGGCCTTGTATCAGTCCCGTCCTACTTTAATTTGGAATAACAAAAATTCCAAAATCTTTGGAGTCAACTGAGTTAACTGTATTCTCCTATACCCAAAGTAATTTGCTGTAGTATTCTTTGCTGGGAGAAATCAGGGGGGTTTTGGTAAGAAAACAAACAATGAGATCTGGGAGGCTGTGGTCACTTCTGCTACTGTATTGTAGCCCTATTTGAATTGAGCACAGTTTCAGGAGAAATAGCTAAACAGGCAATTAATATTTTATAAGCTCAAATAGGTAGGCAAGCTTTAAGGCATTATTGATTAAATTGTGAAGACTGGAGGAGAGTGGAAAGATGGTGGTGTGCCCATCACATTGGAGGAAGAGCAGTGGTTTGGTTCTCTGTTGCATTTGCACACTCTTACAGTGAATGCTCAGTGAGGTGTTCCCACCCATGAGATGATGGAAAATTGTGTTCTCTGAAAATTGATGGAAGAATAGGGCATGGTTGAAAGGGGAGGCGGAATGCTGCGTTATTGGCCTCGTCAACAACAGATGGTGGCAGCACTGAGGCAGAAAATTACGCATCTGTCACAAGTTGTACAGCTTCAGGTCCTCCCTGATCCTATGAAAATCCCATCTGGGGTTCTGAGATCCCAAACAATGGTTCACTGGATGAGGATTTCAATGGTTGCTGTAATTTTTAACCATTCTGCCTTTCGTTGTTTTACCTTTCCTTCACTGGACTTCTAAATCCTTGTTTCTGGTGTTTTAATTCAGCTGAAACTGGCCAAGGGATAAAGGGAGATGCTGAATTTTTGTGTAATTCATTTTAAAAATGTGATGTTGGATAAAATTTTACTAGCTATCCTCCCTGTGGAAGGAGGAAGGGTGATATGAGGGTAATTCTTGCTTGATCTTGGCAGGCTAAGAGTTGGGCAAAGAAGAACCTCACGAGGTTCAGCAAGGACAAGTGTGGAGTCGTAGAAACATTAAGGCTGGAAAACCTCTAGTCCAAATGTCAGCCCAACCCCACCATTCCCACTGTCCATGTCTCTCAGTGTCTCATCTCCATGGTTCTTGTTCCTTGCTCTAGGGACAGTGACTCCACTGCTTTACTGGACAGCTTGTGCCCGGCCCTTATCACTCCTTTTGAGAGGAAGTTTTTCCTAATATCCAACCTGAACCTCCTCTGGCACACCTTAAAGCCATTACATCTCATTCTGTCCTCCACCTGGAAAGGAATAACCATGTGCATCAGTACAGGCTGGGAGCTGAGCTGCTGGAAGGGAGCTCTGCAGAGGAGGACCTGGGTCCAGCTCTGGGCTCCCCAGTTCCAGGCAGACAGGGAACTGCTGGAGAAAGTCCACATGAACATGAGGAAGAACTTATTTACTGTGAGGTGTCAGAGCCCTGGAACAGGCTGCCCAGAGAGGTGGTGGAGTCGTCTTCTCTGGAGATATTCAAAACCTTCCTGGATGCTTTCATTGTGACCTGCTGTAGGAAACCTGCTTTAGCAGGGAGGTTGTTTTTTTTCCATAATGCACAGAGCAGGTTTGACTGTGAATTCCCTACTGCTGTGACATCAAATCGCTGCTGGGAATCCTTTGTACCAAGAGCCATGCAAAAATAGCACAAACAAATTTGATAGTGTTTTTACTTATTATTCAATATATGGGTCATTGAAGTTGAATGTCCCCTTCAGTTTTCAGGGAAAAAAAAAAAAAAAAAGCACTTCATATTTTTTTTTGCAGTCTCCAGACTTTTCAACGTCTTTGTTTTACCTTCTTCCTTTGAGACAACTTGGAAATACCTTCAGCAGGTCAGAGCAGAATCTCCTGTTGGGATTTTATATGTTGACCTACTAGCTCTTTGAGCACTGAGAGTTCCTCTCTCTTTCTTTTTATTACTTTTTAATAATTTTTATTCATGACAAGGAAACTCCCATGCAAGCGTTTACTTTTACTTAGGCCACCTGGAATCTCAAGGATGCTTTGCAGGTAGAAAAAGTGTTGCAAAACTTGCAAAATTAGCAATAGTGAGGAAGTGGGCTTTGCAAAGAGGGGAAATGATTGTCTTTTCCAACATACAATCCTACCAGACAGCTCATCAGATAAGGTTTGTAATAGTCCAGATTGCACATGCTTTCATGTACTCACTGGTTAGTAGATGACCACCAATCTTCAGTGAAACCACAGCTTCCTACTTATCACCTGTGTCTTTTGCATCCTTTTGAGAAATAAATATGGATCTTATTAGACATGGCATCTTGTTAATCAGGATGCTGGTGTTGCTGCACTGTAGTGTTGCTTTGGAGACTGTAGCAGCCCTGAACCATGCAATTTTTCTCTGTGTTGCAGTCAAGCCACTGCAAGTGGATGGAGATGTGGCTCCTGCTTCCTCATCTTCTTCTTCACCCTGGGGCTTCTTCACTGCCTGCCTGCTTTTGGGCTTATGGACGAAGAGCCGTGGGAGATTCAAGCTCAGGTATCCCAGGAAAACGCCCTATGCGTGTAAGCAGAAAGCAGGGCAGTGAGACTTCTTGCTTTTTTCTAGCTTTGATTTACCATGGAAATAGGGATTCTTAACAAGAGGTTTCTAATGCAAATGCATTTGCATTGGGCATCTGGCATGTTGTATTCATGCTCAATCACACATCATAAAATTGCTTGCATGCACTGTGGATGGAAGTCTGAGGAACTGGTTCTCTTCTCCTGCCTAAGAATGGGGATCATCCCTGCCCACCTCCCCCAAAGACCCCATGCTCTTGTGCATTGCTTCCAGGCTTTCTGTTCTCTCTTCCCAGAGCAGTGAGGTCCAAAGCCCACATGCTTTCTTGCTCTCTGTGCTCTCAGACTTCCAGGCAGAGCAGCCCGTGCTCCCAGTTCCTCATTGCTCTCCAACACAACCATGAGCAAAGAGAAGGCAGCCCTAGGGCAGGGGAGGAACAGAGCTTCTTAAATACCTTCTGCTGCAGTTTAATCCCCAGTGCATGGTCAAATGCGTTCCCCTTCATTCTTGCAGCTTCCCTGTGTGTGTTTGAAGGTTACCCTCTGTCCCTGAAGGCTGTGGCTAGGAAATCTCTTTTGCAGAAGTGCAGAGGCTGCAATCATTTCCACCCTGCTCCATCACAGCTTTCCTGCCCTGAGTAACACAGCAGGGTGACGAGCTTCCCCATAGGGAAACCAAGGAACAACCTCAATACCTACCAATGGAGAGCAGCAATCCCATTGCCCATCTGAAGCTGTCGTTTCTCTTTAAATTCCCTAAAAGCCATTCGAGGGTTGAGTTGCTTGCTGAAATGTTAATTGCTGAGACCTGCCAAGGGCTGGCAGCCCGCCAAGGGTTTCCATGTCTACCAAGAATGTTTTGCAGTGCGATTTGGGAGAGAAACATTACTTCCTTCTTTTTTTCTTTCTTTTTTT